TTCACTTGTTAAATAATTCCTAGGAATCTGCATTTTTACAAGACATCCCACCCAAAAATGATTCTGATATACAACAAGTTTGTTAATAAATATTCTACTATAGTATACTCTTTACTATCATCAAAATCCATGAAGAAAGGCGAGCAGATGATACCTTCCTCTGCAAGGCCTGAAGAACTGATACTGAGAACATTACTGATTGCATCATTCAATGTATCTCACAAAATCCCATGTAAAAAATTTCTTTCCAATTTAGTGCCAGAAAAAAAAAAAGAAAGGCAAATGTGTCTTCCCTGGAGAATTGCTGTATTTCTTCCTTTAAGATTTTGAAATTTATAAAACTCACCATGGTTATCTCTTCCTCATGACTACTAAGAAACCAAGAGCCAACCCTGAAGCTCAGCTGCTTCTGGATTGTGTTAAGTGCCTCTCCTCTTGGTTCTCAAAGCCTCTCATGCATACTTCCATATTACCACTTATACATTACAGCTAAGTTACTCATTTAATGTATTTTTTCTTGTTTTGCTGTAAGCCCTTAAAAGTGGGGACCATATCTTTTACATCAGTTCATCTAGAGTGACATGCCTAGTGCCTGGTGTACAGTAGGTTCTAGGGACATTTTTGCCACATTATGAACCAAATATTGTCAATTATTAGATGTATGAATGATACTAATACTAATGGTGAGTAGATTTGCTGTTTCCTTCTTGCACAGGATTTGATTATATATTTTTTATTATTAATCTTATTGTATGTGTTCCACTGCTGGCTGTTAGAAGGAAATCCTTTCCGTCCATTCCTTGTATTTTCTTTTAGATGGAGAGAGCCTAGTTAGTCTACTACCTTTGGCTCCTCTCTGCCCCTTTACTCAAGATATCCCAAGGGAGGTGGAGTGACTTATCTAATTGGTAATCTGGGGAGAATAAACCAGACATGCTCAAAGTCCTTCATTTTTCCAGTTTCACCTTTTAGGTCAGTTAGCTCTGTTTCTTTGCATTCCCTTTTATCTCCCAATTCAAATAGATCTAGTTTGTCCCCTGAAAGTTCAACTCCTTTTGTAAATTTAGGTTTTGCTTTTTTATTTCTCAATATTTCAGTTTATCCTCTGTCATTTCCAGAACTAAAGGATGTTTACTGAACTCCCATTTTCTTGTCACCTATAATGCATCCTTCAATTACCTGATCTGTTGCTTTGGTCCTGGCACTGTTTCTGAGTCAGCCTATTCCCTAAGACTAAGGGATCACAGATATGCTTCTTTCATAAACTTTTGGTTTTTGACTTATGGTTATTTTTCATACTTTCTCTGTACAAGCAGAACTTGCATCTCTAATTTGATGGTGACCCATGTCTCTTTTTATTTGCCCATTAATAAAATCTACTTTATTCCAAAGGGTAAAACCACAATCCAGATCTCTAATATTCATAAGCATAATTGGCAGGTGTTACAATGCAGAGCCTCAAAGATAATATAAAATTACACAAGCCATGTAACTCCAGACTAGCTTTGGCTTGGTTCCAAATGAAGGTCAGCATTTATAATCTGAAGGCCTAAAATATCTCAGAATGGTCTATAAACCTAGCTGACAAACATGTTATATAGTATGAAACTAATCATTACTCCAATAACTGGATGTAGTGTGCATAAAATCTATTTAATAAAGAGAATAAGAGAAAAAAATGAAAATGATCTGGATCAAAGATTTTGTGATCCCAGACTCAGCACCAGGTTCTTTGGGGAAGTCCCCCAAACAGTATTCCCCTTTGTAGCTCAAGCTCTTAAACAATGAGTCAGCAGATGGAGGCCAAAATATATTGACACACATTTTCACTTTGCTAAGAATAAGGTAGAGCATATAGTTTATACATGTGGCAGTAAACCCCCAATATTGATCCACATTACACAGATTTACTCATATAGTTACAGTCATGGCCTAAAGTCTACAGGCCTCCTTGAATGGGGCAGCCTTCCATAAAAGTATGGCCCATAAGAGAAGGGGAGAATGCATGCTCTCTGGAAGTTACATTCCCCAAGAGAAAAAAAGGAGGAGATGCACTGAGCATGCCTAGTTTACTCTTCCCAAATTTAGCTGTTCTTTGTGCATATATGCCACTTCCCCAAAGAACTTCCCCAAAGAACACTGGACTGGTGTGTTTGTAAAGAGAGGGAGATAGTTCAGAAATATTAAGAAAATTGAAGCAAAGAAATGGAGACCCATCTTTAAACTTAAAACAAATTTGAATGAGTAAAAGAGGAACAAAAGATCACTGGGAAGATTCCACTGGAAAAAAATGTATATTTAGGTAAAAAAATTGCTCTGGAATTGCTAGGTATCACCCTTAGAATATTGATTTAAGTACCAAAATATTAATAAAACTCATATCAAAGGGATTGTGGCTAAATTTACTTTTTAACATTTCTACTAAGATCCAGGCCATTGCTTGAGAGTAGCTGACCAGTAGCAATATCATCAGTATGCAATCCTACCAAACAATACTCACACAATTATAAATTTAGAATCGCCCGGTGAAGTACTATGGTGTTACAAGAATAATGACAACAGGAGCTAACATTTATGTGTCCCTCCTATGTGCCACGTATGTGCTAAGTGCTGTACTTATTACTATATTTGATCCTCAGGATAACTCTATGAGTTAGATATCCATATTCCCATTTTATAATCAGGGAAAACAAGGCTAAGTAACCTACCAAAGATCATAAGCCTGAAAGCAGCGAAGTCAGGATTTGACCCCAGACTGACTGACTATAAACCCTGTGTTCTTTGGCATTTGCCAAAGTAAACACATCTGTAAATACTACGGGACTGGATTACGAGAACTCTAGGCCTCTCTGACTTTCTGTGTCTCTGTGACCTGACAGTGTGAAAAGCTCCTGCTTGTTACAACGCTACCCCAGATAATCATTTTTCTTCTTTCCACTTTTCATTCTTTTCTGTTTCTTCTCTATTTCAGAGTTCCAATGGGCTAATTGGAAAGACCTTGCATAAATACAGTAAAAGTCATTATGAGGTTATCCAAAGGACAAAATGGGGAGGGAGGGTATGCTACAAGTGGAAAATTGTTTTAAGTTTGAATTATAACCTGGTGGGACCTGCTCAGGACTTAGCAGAGGAAGGCCTCATATGCCAGGACATTGCTAAATAGGTTTTACTTTAAATTCTAAGAGACAAAGAAGGTTTTCATTTTAAAATGGAAGATAAATATTTCACAAGTATGTTCCTAGAGCTCATAAAGATTAATCTCTGAAGAATTATGGAGAATACTGATCTTCATCATCATTTCAGGCAGGGAGGGCTAATACAGTTCTTAAAATATATATGTATTTCTCCAATTTAACTATTAATAATATTTTCCTGGAAAGAGCACTGAACTTTCAAGGTAAAGATTTGGAATTTTACTGTGTGACATAGGATATATTGGTTGATCTCTCTGAATATCAGTTTCCTTATCCATACAAAAGACCAAAATAATATCTATTTTACAGACTTATCGTGAGTGGCCGAGAAAAAATAATGTATATTAAAGTGCTTAGGTGAGTACCAGACCTCTAGCTGATATTAATAAATGAAAGATTAAAGAAATGCTTTCAGGTTGCTTATGATTGAATAGAAAAGAGACAAGAAAATAGATAATTTCAAAACATTGCGAACATTGTAGGGTAGAGGAAATCCCCCATAAATGATCCCTAAACATAAAAGAAAAATGATTCTAAATCTAACCGGATTAGTAAGTAGAGTCCTTCTTTGGTGACTCAATAACTTCCTACTTTTAGACAAATCACCCTTCTCTGATATATGGCTCTGATTCTTATAGATTGAAGTTACTTGTCTATAATCATTAAATGTACAGTGGACCTAAATATTAGGTCTGGGTTTGGCATTTAGCAACTGCCTGATTGGGCAGGTTAAGACGTGTGTGAACCCTTCTCTCTCCCCTCTGAAAGAGATATCTTTATAATCTGTGTGTGTGTGTATGAATTAAACGAGAGGATTTTTTTTCATTTTTGGAACATTGCAAAATAACTAATTAAATTATTATATTCAGGAGGTCAGTAGTAGTATTTGGGTTTAGCAATTGTGGAAAAGGCAAGAAAACTCTAGAAGGTTTTTCCACACATAGCAACTGAGCCAAATGGTCACCAGAGGTCAATGGTTGGTCATAGGTAGCCTTATTTAATGACAGATGAGCACATGCGTCTGTAGCCTGGCTCCAGTGACATTTCAGGCGGGGATGGCTGAAGGTATGTACTGATACATTAACACCCCCCAGTAGCCATAGCATTTTCACTAGTCCTCTTCCCTACTGAGTCCAAATAAAGTCTCAAACTCATTTTTTCAACACTTTTGTTCCACATAGTCACTACCAATCCATCAGAGTTGGCTCTCAAGTTGAAATTTATTTGTCATTCCATGTTCATAATCAGACTCAGATGCAAACAGTCTCTCTGGCATAGCTTCTGATGCTTTTTTATTAATCACTGCCTGGAATGTTTCAGTTAGCTGGAGGAAATATCAAGAAACAGGAGGATTTCACACATTCATTCTAAAAACATTCAGAAATTAGTATAATTAAATGCATAATATGACCAAAGCACTTCATGTCTACAAGTGTCCTTACAGTTGCTGAGCTACATGGACACGCTTCCTCAGTTCCCTGTGAATTTCCATGATCACCACCTACTATCGAAAGCCATCTGCTTCTGCCTTTTAATATACAGGGGTAAAAGCCACTCATAATAGTTTAGTCATTGAGACTACACACTATATGTGTGTGTGTGTGTGTGTGCGTCTACAAATGTGTGTTTACTTTGTGTGTATAAATGTGTACACATGTGTGTACATATATGAACATACATGTACATATGTGTGCAATATATAAATATATATTTATGTATGTTAGATTGATTTCTAGGTATTTCATATTGTTGATACTATTGTAATTGTATTAGTTTTATTTCAATTTCCATTATTCACAACTAGAGTATTAGTCAGCTAGGATTATTACAATAAGATACCACATACTGGGTGGCCTAAGCAATGAAAATTTATTTTCTCTTAGCTCTCGAAGGGCAGAAATCCAAGAGCAAGGTGCCAGCAGGGTTGGTGTCTGGTGAGGCCTTTCTCCTGGCTTAAAGACAGCTGCTTTCTCACCATGTCCTCACATGGCCTTTCCTCTGTGTGCTCATAATGGGAAGGGGCAACAGATATTTCTCTGGTGTCCCTTCCTTTTCTTATAAGGACACTAGTCCTATTGAATTAAAGCCCAACCTTATGACCTCATGAACCTTTATTATTCCCTATACACCTTGTGACCACATACAATCACACTGAAGGCTAGGACTTCAAAATGTGAACGTTGGGAGGTCACAATTCAATCCACAACAGCTAATATATAAAATACAATTAATTTTTATATACAGTCATCCCCCATCTGGGGTTTTGCTTTCCTCAGTTTCAGTTATCTACAGCCAACTGTGGTCTGAAAATAGGTAAGTATAGAACAATAGGATATTTTGAGAGAAAGAGATTGAATTCAAATAATTTTATTACCGTATATTGGTATACCTGCTCTATTTTATTAGTTATTGTTGTTAGCCTCTTACTGTGCCTAATTTAGTAATTAAAATTTATCATAGGTATGAATATATAGGAAAAAACTTAGTATATCTAGGATCTGATACTATCTATGGCTTCAGTCATCCACTGGGGGTCCTGAAATATATTCTCCGCAGATAAAAGAAAACTACTGCATCAACTTTGTGCCATGAAGACTTGCTAAACAAGCATAGTAGTTTTAGCAGCATTTTTGTAGATTACTTAGGATTTTCTACTTAGACAATCAGGCTGTGTGCAAATAGAGTGTTACTTCTTTCTCTTCAATCTGAATGGCTTTTATTTCTTGTCTGGCCTTCTTGCATTGGCTAGTACCTTTGCGGGATGTTGGAGTGGTAAAGGTGGGCATCCTTACCTTGTTCCTGAACTTAAAGAGAAAGGCTGCAGTCTTGCCCCACAGAGCGTGATGTTAGCAGTAGGTTTTTCATAGATGCCCCTTAGTTAGGTTGAGATTGAAGAAGAAGATACCTTCCATTATTAGTTTGATGAGAGTTTTTATAAGCTCCTTGTAGACACTTTATCTCTTCATCTTCATACTCATCACACCTAAAAATGCCTTGCACATAGTAAGCATTCAGTAAATACATGATGGATTGTATTGTGAGAAAAGAAATGAAATTGACTATTCATTTGAAGAATCTAATGGGAAAGATGTTTTTGAAAAAAACAGAATCAGGGAATATGGTCCTGCACATAAAGAAAAGTCATTTATTGCCTGACAATGAAATAATGCTTTAAATTTGTATTTTTTATTTGGGGCATAACCAGAATACCCAAGGGCTGTGTGTGTGTGTGTGTGTGTGTGTGTATGTGTGTGTGTGTGCGTGTATGACACAGATTGCCTTGATGAATATAGAATCAATTGCATAAAGACTAGAAATGCAAATTCTAGAAATGCAAAATTTTAACAATAGACCTTCAATAAAACAATGGTGTCAAAGGTCACAACATATACCTGACCTATTTGTAATCCAATCCTTCATATAAAAATGACCTACATATAATACACCCACATTTAATCTGGTCCTTCCAGAATTTTGAAACGCTCCCCAGAATTGCCTTTTTCCTACTTCAGTGAGAAATGTGTGTGATTTGTTCAGCTGTTATCCCTGCGCCATCCCCACCCCCAGCACTGTGCCACCCAGCCCCTTCTCAGCTGGCGAGCACAGGCCCCAGATGCCAAGCTGTGGAAGATATTTATCTGCTGCATCTGGTTCCTTAGCAGATTCGACAGGCCTCTGTGCTGGCAGCTTCAGAAATGCCTTTGGGCTTGTCACACAGTGAAAACTCCCAACTGGCTGTCTGAATTGGCAACCATGCTTTGGCTCACTGGAGAAAAGGGAGAAATGGTGCTTTTTGTCCACCTACCGATAACCTCTCATATTAAGTGATCAACGGCTTCTTATCTGAAAACTATGTTCCCACAGGGAAGCACAGACTTGAGGCTGAATTCCATCCTCCTGGTATATAAACTCACAAGTATTACATGCCTGAGGTTTTTTGTTTTTTGTTTTTTTTTACACTTGGCCAGAGAGGAAATCCCCAGCAATTTGGACCTCAGCATGTCTATTCTGAAATTAAATTCAGAAAGCATCAGCATTTCAGAATCAGCATTTTAAAATTAAGAGTCAGCTAATCCATCCCTTTAATTTATCTGATGAAGAAACTCAGGCTCTGAAAGACGAAGGGATTTGGCCAAGGTACACATAGCAAGCATGACAAAGGAAGAGGCTCACTCTGGGTGGATGCTGGGGGTGGGGAAGGACGAAAGCCGATGGGAGCAGGAATGTGCGCTTGTGGCTAGAGTCGTGGAGAAGGAACACTTGGAGACTGTGCAGCAGGCTACAGCAGGGAAGAGAACCCTTAGACAGGGAGATCTGTGTGATAAGGCTGTCACGGCCATATCCCAGCAAGCTCAGTGACCTTAAGCAAGTTACCTAACCTCTGGGCCTGAGTTCTGACATCTGAAAATAAAACGAGTCGACAATAGCCCCTAATTTATTTGGTTGTTCTGATGATTAAATGAGATACTGTATAATGCACCCGACGAGGACATGTTCATTTTCTTCGATAAATGTTTATTGAGAGGTTACCATGTGATGGGCTCTATGCTATACACTGGACAAATCGTTATTATCAATATTAGTTTGGAAGGTGAAATCAGTAAATGAGGGCAGGCCTGCAAAACTAGGACGAGGGAGTGAATTTCCTGCATGGTTTCCTGCTGAGAGGCTCTCAGGCACCCAGTGAGTGTTCTTCCACATGCACACAATGCGTCTACTGCCGCAGCATCGGTTCCAATTCCCTCAGCTGCAGTGAGCCCCGGTTTCCAGCAGGGGACATCCACAGCCCAGACAAGGGAAACCCGGGCCAGCTCAGCCTGAGAGATGATGAATGAAAGCGATAAATCACTTAGACATGAGCCCGAGACTGGCCTGTTATGATACTCATTCCATAAAGACAAAAGTTCTGAAAGGGATGACCCCTGCAAGCCTCCTGAGCCCTGAGCTTGTAGGAATGCCAGTGCATTTCAACTTCTCTTAATCCTTTATTTACAAGCTGAGGCCCAACAGACTTTTGTTCATGCTAATGGGGCGTAATTTCCTTCTGTACCGGGCAGATCAAAACGACCAGGTCTTGATGACCCACAGCTTATACAAGGTCATCAGGGGAAAACAGGTTCCAAGAAGTACTGCAGGGCTTCTGATATGCTTTGGCTGGTGTCTGGACCTTAGGGTTTATTTATGAGTCTGCTCAGGAGCCAGAGAGCTGATGACTAGAAGGTAGATGTGTTTTGGGGGCAGTGGTGTGCTGATAAACATTTAAGAACCAGCTGGGGGGGGATGTATGCATATGTATATGTACATAAGTTTATAATACATTTTACTGATAAACAGGTAATGTAGCATACAATTTACATACCATAATAAAACACACAATATTTTATTATAAATATCATATAGCCAATTGATCCTCAAGGAATTGAATACCTTAGTTGATTTTTGCTGAACCTTTGTATTCATAGTCAAGCCATTATTGCAATTCAATCATGATCTGACAAAATTAGACTACAAATAAGTGCTTGGTTACTATCTGGTTCAGCAAAGAAGTCACTCATCTCATTGATCAGTAAATGTGGTTGTGACATAAAAGTTGGTTGACAGCAATCCCACTACTGGGTATTTACCCAAAAGAAAAAAAAAGACATTCTATAACAAAGACATCTGTACTCAAATGTTTATAGCAGCACAATTCACAATTGCAAAGATGTAGAAACAACCAAGTGCTCATCAATACATGAGTGGATTAAAAAATGTGGTATATTTATACTATGGAGCACTACTCAGCCATAAAAAAATGGTGAGCTAACTCCTCTTACAGTAACCTGGATGGAACTGGAGACTATTATTCTAAGTGAAGTATCACAAGAATGGAAAAACAAACACCATATGTACTCATCATTAAATTGGAACTAATTGATCAACACTTATGTACGCATATGGAAATAATATTCATTAGAAATCAAGCAGGTGGGAAGGGAATAGGGATGGGTAAATTCACACCTAACATGTACAATGCACACTATCTGGGGGATGGGCACACTTATAACTTTGAATGGTACAAAAGTAATTTATAAAACCAAAATATTTGTACCCTCGTAATATTCTGAAATAAAAAAAAGAAAGTTGGCTGTCATTTTCATTCATGTTAAGGAGTTCAAAAATGAAAGAGCAAAGACATATGTTGAAACTTCATTTGTTTGTTAATAACTTGAGCAAACTCTTTGTTAAATCCTCTAATGGTGTTTGAATACTGAAAAATATTTTCCTTATTATTTGTGTTGTTTACATACAACCCAATACAGTATAGCCTTATTAACATATCAATTCAAGCCTAGAAAAATTAACACAATGATTCAGGCCCTGATTTATAGTATCTGCCAATTTCCATGATGTAAATATTCTCACCATGGATGGTTTTTAAATCAAAGTAACATCACTGAGCACTGAATTGAAAAGAAATGCCCACTATATGCCCATTATATAATGTTTATATCATATACTTAAAATAGACATAAATAATCTCAAGACTATAAAAAACAATAAAATGTAGTAAAATAAGAAGTGATGGATTTTTAAAATTTTTTGTTAATATATAATATTTGTACATAATTATGGGGTATGTGTGTAGGAAGCAATAGATTTTAAGTGTTTACTTTCTTATTCATAAAATGTAGAGAATAATCACTATTGTGTATAATCTTCTTTTAAAAAATTAGTCTACCCTGCATAGTGTTTAGCACATACTAGCATTTAACACATAATAATCATAATTATAAAGTAATGAAAAAGCCGAGAGTCAGATAGGCATTGCAAAAAGAAAAATACATCAAAATGTTAAAAAATTATTTAGCAATTATAGTTAATATATGCAAGTCACTGTACTAAAACCTTTACATGGCTTAAATTATATTATCATCACAATGATTGTAAGGGATATGTATTACTTCCCCCAGATTGATGGGAATCTGACGCTCAGAGAAGTAAAGTGACTTGCTCAGTTCACCCAGCTAGCAAATAATAGGCCTGGGATTAGAAAAGGAGCTGACTTTAAAGATTAGGCAACAAGCAAGGCAATGGCAGTTAACAAAATGTTAGTCTGGGGCAAAAAAGGGAGGGGGAGGTAATTGGACTGGGAAGAAGCCTGAACTTGAAAGTGAAATCTAGCCTTGGCTCTTCCGTCTGAATTTGAACACATCATTTGTTTTCTAAATTTACTAAATTTAAAGGAGGCTAGATGTTTGTGAGTCTGTGAAATGTGCCCCATTCCATTTTAAAGCTGGGATGCTAGAATTGGAATGAGTTGCTAAAGTAGGTGGTGTAATCTGTCTTTGCCAAATTCTGGCTTCTGGTAATATCATAATCGATAACATCTCATAGGATGGAATGATACTTTGAATCAACCACTGTGTCCACTTCTTATCCTACCTCCCACCCTTCTTCCTGTGTTCCTCATCCCAGGGAAAGTCCTCAGAGCAGAAGAAGAATACAAAGATGCCAAATTCTTTGTTGTTCAAGCCAAAGATCTATGGCCCAGGTGTAAGAGCAAGGAATTTGGTTCATTTTACCCCTGACTACCTGAAGTTTCCACAGTCAAGGAGGGAGGCAGGCCCAGATGGAGTCTGAAAAGGGAGAATGCTGATGCTTTTGGGAGCAAATATCCTACAGCTGCTAGTGCTAAGGAGCAGCACAAGCCATGAAAGGGCTTCTTGGGATAGCCTTTTCTGTCTGAGAAAGCACTATGCTTACTTGGAAAATTAATTGACTCTCTCATAGTGGTTTGATAAAGCTGGGCTGCTGATCATATCCAGATTATTGCCCACTGTCCAGCAATGTGTCAGCTTCCCTGTCTGTCTTATGGAAACAACCTTTTCCACCCATTTACAATGGTCCAGAGCACTCTTAAGCCTTTGGAATGTGGTGTGGAGCCCTGGATACAGAAGGTCAAGCCTTGCTGGGGTAAAATAGGACTAGGCAGGAGCAACTTAAGTTCTATCAGGAGTCCAGATGTTGGAGGGACACATCTCAGCCCCTCAGTCCAGCCCCCTTTCACCTGTTATCTAGCATTCTGTGCACTCGTGTTGTATGTGTCCCTTGAGATGTTTTTGATCCCTTATGGACCCTGGACATACCTCTACCACAGCACTTTTGACTTTGTGTGCTTTATTCCCCAAATAACTCTGGGCTACTTCAGAGAACTCTCTGTGCCTAACATCAAATTGCATCTGTAGAACTCAGCACAGCAGAGAATATAGAAGATGCTTAAAAAGAAACACACTCTGTAGAATGAATGAACAAAATCTATGGAGTTGGAAGTATTAGTAGAATGCTCTGTTAACAAATGAGGAACTAGAAGCCCAGAGAAAATGTGAATTGCTTGAGAGTGGCTAGTCAGTGTCAAAGAATGTCCCAAATCTGAAGTATGTAATCCCCACGCCAGTGCTCATTTCTCTGTACTCTGTTAATTTGGTAAGATGACGTTTATAACATTTGCCAATTGCTCTAATTAAAACTCTTATTTTTATTTTACAAGTTTCTCAACACTGAAGGATGATGGGATTTGCCAGGATTTGTTTTTAATGTTTAGGCTGAACCCCAGAATTTTCAGACGAGGATTCTGGAAACCAGATGAAGAAAGCTACTCAGTAAAGAGGGATAAAAAGATTTAAATAGAGTTTTAGCCTTTCTGCTAAGAGCATGTGTGCTGGTTGAGGATGGGGTATGGGTATGTGCACATGCACATATGTGTGTCTGTGTGTACCTTGGATTGTTAGGAAAAGAAAGTAGGGAGTGTCATGCTTGGCTCTTCTGTTCTTCCAATGCTGTGGAAAATCTTTTGATCAAGATAAAATGCTCCAGTTTTTTATTAGGCCTTGTTGCTCAACCCATAGGTCTCCCCATCCCCATTTTAAATTGCAACATGCCTATTGTGAATTCAGGCTCATGTTCCTATGTCTACAAGATGCACTTGAGAGTTCATTTACATGCCTTTATGTTTCTAAAAAGGCTGACATTTAAACTCTTCTGGATAGAAGAGAAAAATTGTTATGTTAAAGTACTTCCAAGGATGAGTCCATGGAAAAGAATGGTTTCTACAAATTTCTTGCAGCTCAATATTTAATAGCCATGCCAGACAATTCTCTTTTATTTGTTAAGATGCTAGCTAAAGACCTATATAGCATAAAGTGGCATGGAAGAGATATTAGAATTTATCTGGTATTTGGAGACAATGCTGCATATCCCAGGTTCATCCTTTCATCAGCTATATTATAATTTTGACCAGAATGTTTCCATTATTTGGGCAAAAAATTTCATATGTAGATGAAAATAATATAAGAATAATAATGGCTAACACTGATTGAGTGACTTCTTGACCTTAGCATTATGCTAGTCATCCTACATTTTATTTAATTCCAACCCCAAGGTTATGAAGTCATTAGTATTCTCATCATTTGATAGGTGAAGAAACTGAAGTTTAAAGAATTTAAGATACTTACCCAAAGTCATATAGTAAATCACAAAACTAGGCCTTATTCACAGGCCTCTCTGACTTAGAACTCTAGCGTTCATTTGTATTTTTTCTTTATTTTTTAATTTTTTTTAAAATTTTTAATTATTATGGGTACATAATTGTATTAATCTTTATAGGGTACATGTGATTTTTTGATACAGGCATATAATGTGAATTAATCAAATCAGAGTATTTGAGGTATCCATCAACTCAGGCATATAGGAGTTGTGTTTCTTTGTGTTAGGAACACTCCAATTCCATTCTTTTAGTTATTTTAAAGTATATCCTAACTTATTGTTGATTATAGTCACTTTGTTGTTCTATCAAATAGTTTTACTACATTTCAGTACTAGGCTAGAAAGCCAGACAGCAGACTCTAAGTAACATGTTGAAGTATGCTGATAGGGGGGGTTCACAGGCATTGAAACAAGAAAACTGTAATTAACTATCTATGTCAATTAAAAATTAGGTGAATTATTTGAATCTTAATTTCTTCATGTGCAGAAATTTAATATCTATCTCGCAAAGTTGAAGGAATAAATGAGAAAACATGTAAATGCCTGGCTAAAATGTTTTGTAATATGAAATTCTCTTTCATAATCTACATTCCAGATATTGCATTTTGGTACATTTATTTTGGTTCCATTGTCATTAGAACTAGAGAATAAAAAGTGTTCAGGAACTTAGGCCACTCTCCTTCTAGATTCTTCTCTCAACCCCTTGCTCCCTCTTGGTATATACACAGAGCTCTCTGTGATCTACTTCCAGCGACTTCACACTTACCTGGGTATGGCTTTGAAGACTTTCTCTAAGGAAGAAATTCCTTTTAATTGTGGAAAAATAAGCCCCAGGGTGATGGCCTGGAAGGTAAAGTTATGAAGGGAAAACAACATTGTCCTCATTAACAAACTAAGAAGAATTCTGGGCTAGTCCAGACAAGAAAAAAGAATAGAAAGAGAAAAAGATGGATGGGTTAAGAAGTGAACAAGAAAAACACAGTGCTGTAGAGAAGGAGAAAGCCAAAATTTTAGAGATAGAGGCTTAAGAGTGAAACATAGCCAGTGAGAAATCCCCAGGGTTGTGTAGCGCCAAATGACTTTAAAAATAGAGATAGTTTCTTTCAATTTATGAGGATGGAGTAGGCCAAACACTTGCTCTAATCTCTTTTACAACTTATCTCCCTTACATTGAAATACAAAAGTTTGAAAAGGAATAAATTCATCACGGAAGAGCAAAATGGAGCAAAGTATTTCAACAAATTTCTGAAAGGAGAAAAATTAAGAGAAGTTTGGTGAATACAGCAACTGGAGATGCTGCTGCTTAGAAGATAGGACTCTGGGACCACAAATGAAGTGTGTAGCTATCACCAATCATCTTTCTACTTCACTGAATATTTAAAGATTTCATTTCTCTCTCCCTTTTGGTTAGGTTTAGGTCATTGGCTGGGTTCTGGCCAAGACACTGTGGGCAGAAGTGACATTTGCCACTTTCCAGCCTGGCGCTGAAGCACCTGGGGCAATCCTCCATGGGTTCTTTCTGGCCCACTTTCTGAGTGCACAGAACCCACCAGAGGATCCAAGGAGGCCCTGGGTTTGGTGGGGCCATGAGATGGAAGGAGCATTTATCCAGTCACTCTTGGAGAAAAGCTACCGACTTGAGTTGGACTGTGAGGTAAACAAGCTATCAATTTTTATTTTGTTAAGCCACTGAGGTTTTTTAAAATAGCAAACATTAATCACTCTGACATGAAGTGGGAGCCATTCTGTCCCTCAGCAACCCAGAGAAGGTCTAGACCATAATTCTGAGGAAGATGGGGGAGGTCTGGCTGAGCATGTGGGTATCGTTCAGGTATGTGAACGAAAGCAGAGAGGAGGACTGTACAGGAAGACAAACTGCTCCCTGTCCTCCCATCCTCCTCCTCTTCCTCCTTTCAAGAGCACAGGCAACTGCATTTCTCCCTGTCACAATGCTAGGCAGCACTTCCCTAATGAAATGGAACAAAATGTTTGGAGAAAGTTCTATGTGTTGACAGCCCACTATAAAACTTTCGTCATGGAGGTGTTTGCTGTGGCTGGAAAGTAGAGGCACCTTTGCAGGCTCCACCTTGCCTGGGAGAAGAAGCTGACTCTCTGGTAGCCCTGTGCTGCCTCACAGAGAGTCAGTCCAAAATTTCCGCTCAGCCGAGACACCCGCCAAGCTGATATAATTGTACAATAGCAAAGGAAGCCTACGTGTGTTCCCCGGGCCTTCTGCTTTAAATGTCAGTGGACAACCAAAGACTGAAAGGTAAGAACCAGCAGAATGACAGAGGCCAATCAGAATGAGTACTGTGTTAATTAACATATTCAGGTAAATTTAAGAAGATTGTATTTATTTAACACTGACTCAACAAATATGTAATGAATTCCTAACGTGTATCAGATTCTTCGAGACGGTAAGAACACATTGGCGAAGGTGCCTGTCCTTATACAACTTATTTTCCATTAGATCAGATAAAAAAAGAAGCACATTAAAAATCAATAACATCATGATCATTTCTTATAGAGGTAGATTCCCTGGAAAAAATCAAACAGAATAATGTGCAGAGACTTACTGAAGGAGGGCTACGTAAAATAAGGTAATCAGGGAAAGTGTTTCTGATTAGGGGACTGTTAAGATGAGAGTTTAACAATGAGAAAGAGCCAGCTTTGCAAAGAGTTGGGCACACTCTATTTTGTGAGAGAGGTCAAATGGTGCAAAGTTCACAGAGCAAGGAAGAGCTCGGTATGCTCATGTAATAGCAGAATGGTTGCTCTAGTTGGAGCATGATAAAAGAGCATAAGTTGGAAGAAGGATGTCATTTTCAGGCATTCCTCAAAGACCCTAACCTATCGTGCATCTTGTTTTATTAGAGCATGCTAAATAAAACCAACCATTGGTCCCTAATTTACTTTCATAAAATCTTGGACTCAAGAGTGGAAAGAGTCCACAAGAAAATACCTGGTTTAACCTACCCAATTTACAGATGAAGAACAGAGAGGCCCAGGGATGGAGGAGGAATTGCCTTTGGTTTTTCAGCCCTTTAGGAGAAGGATGAGATAGAACCAAAGGATGTTGTATATGTCTAGTGGTCTTGCAGTTCTCCCCTTGCCCTGCCCTCCCAGATCCGGCTGCTCTGTATTGTATGAATGGAAGGAGCGTGAGAATCTCCTGAAGTAGTAATTAGGTCTCCAGCAGAGTTCCTCCAGGTTGGGTTCCTAAACCTGGCTAATCATTATCTGAAGAACTAGATAAACACATACACAAATTCCACTCTAGGAGACGCTGATTTAGAAACTTAGGTGTGGGGCCCAGCAATCTCTACTTTAAAAAGAGCTTCAGATGGTTTTTATAATCAGGTGTGCTACAATGCCTGCTCTTGCAGTCAGAGAAGCTGGATTCTCACTCCACCTCCCCCAGTTACTAACCAGGTGACCTAATGTCTTTAAGCGTATGTTTCCTCATCTCAATAATGGGGACAATGCCAGCCCTGTCTAGCTCCTGGCGTTTGTAGGAGAATCATTATCCCCATTATTATATAATTTTGATAAAGAGAAATTTTAGTAAATAACAGCAATGGTAACGGTGATAAGCATTTATATAAAGTACATAAAGTGTTTTCAATTTGATCCTCACTGTCTTCTCATTATGCAAATGAACAAAGGTGACTCAGTTCCTGGTGGAAACACTGGTTCTTCTCTCTGCATTCCTTATTCTCTTTCTATCACATTGTTTTGCTATTTAGCTTATTTTTAAAGTAAGCTCATTCTTCAGAAGCACTCATTTGTCAGTGAAGATACCAGTGGAGGTACTGTTCAGACAGAGATGCAAGGCATGGGCAGTTACTATTTTACACTATATTAAAAGAAGAGTCAGAATAAAATCTCAGGGGCTACGAGCCCCATGTTCACAATGTTATGCTTTAAAAAGAAATTGTAGGCCGGGCGCTGTGGCTCACGCCTGTAATCCTAGCTCTTGGGAGGCCGAGGCGGGCGGATTGCTCGTGTATCCTCTTAAAAGGAAATGATATTAGAAGGTGCTGTCTCCCCCTCCCCTGCCCATTTGAAGGTTTCCCTCCAGGATGTGTGAAATACTGTTTAAGAGCTAAACATTTCCCCATTGCATCATAGATCCCACAAACTCAGGCTGGAAGAGCGGTGCGAAGTAAACTCAGCACAAATGATGCTGACCAATCTAGTTCCATTATCTCCACAAAGTGGAAAGTGAAAAGGGCAAAAAGTTACCCCAGCTTTAAATGACATAGGTATCCTAGCCTAAGGCAAAAAGACACTTAGTTTTCACACCTATCTTCTTCAATCAGATGACAGCAGCTGATGGAAGGCTATTCGAAAAGATACAGACGGTGTATCAGAGGATCGTGACTGATGAAAAACATCTGCCGTGGGCCCTGGAGGAGGGGTGTTGCAATGTGCCAAGGATTTGCCCCCTCAGGATGGGGAAGGCTGTGCTGGATACGAAGAAACATATAGTTTAGAAACTAGATGGTCTTGATTCTTGTCCTGATAATTACCAAGTTTGTGACCTTGGACAAAATACTCATCTCCTCATTTCCAAAATTCCTACCTAGTGCTATCTCATGGTGTGAATAATGAAAGTGGGTGTTTTATAAAATTATTGCAGGTGTAATAAAAAGAATTGGCATTCATTAGATTTCAGGAGTCACTGATAAAATTGAGGGTTTTTTTAAATGTAAAGGTCTTCTTTTTTCTAATTGACCTTTAAGACCTTCTCTAACTTTAGGCCATGGACATTAGATAAATAGAGCTTGCTCTCTTTTCCCTCTTTACCATGTCTGTCCCTATTAATCAGAATCCAGACTTCTCTAGCCAATATTGTTCATGTTGCCTTTTCTTACTAGCTCAGGGCTTTTTTTCAGTCCCTTGACAAAACTTACATCAGATGTCTCTCTCTTGCATAATGTATTCCACTTTTTCATTTCCGTTCACTTAAGAAACAAATCCAAACATAATTATATCATTGATAAGAACCTTTAATCAACTTTAGTTCTTTTAGTAATTATTTTCTCACTTTGAAATTTTTTTCCTATTTTTAATATCATTGGATTGCATATGACAGATGCCTTCTCTGCATTATTTTGACCCATAATGTGCTCAGGACACAGTTCTCAAACATCTGTGTTTGCTCAAGTAGTCTCGCTGGTGAATTGTGCCTGAGCTGTGCACCATGGCAGCCCTTCTCCTGGACATCTAAATAATTTTAAATTTCAGGTTTAAATTTTAGGTAAATGCAAAAGCTGCCATCCATGACAAAAAGAAAGCATCTCTGAAATCACTTGTTGATATTCCTTACTCCTGAGTTTATAATCTCAATTCTACCCACCAGCCTTATAATTACAGCCATAAAAATCACTTAACATTCCTATTTTCCAGCTTTCCAAATCTGTAGGATACTCTAAAGAGGGGTCAAAATTCACAACCACCCAAAAAGTAGACATCACTCTTTTACATAAAGACCTAATGACTGTCATCCCATTTCACATTTACATATACTCATCCATTCCTTCTCCATCTAATGGTTTAAAAAATCAATATCTATCCTAGGGCCCAGGATAGAGAGAATAATTGTTACAACAATTTCCTTGTGTAAAGTCCTGCAGAAATTGACATTAAAAATATAACCCAGTGTGTGGCTGCTATTCTCTGGGGACTGTAACTCACTCTCCAAGTCAATTAGTATGAGGCTAGGAGGAAAGGGTCACCCTAAATCATTTGGCTATAGGCTTTAACTGGTGGAAAGAGCACTAAATTCACACAGGACACAGCGACATTTCCGATGGGCAGGAAGGTGAGAGTTACACACCACCTAGTTCTACCCAACTAGTAGAGGCTCATATTAAGGCATCCTTTTACTACTTTTTTGCTGTCTTTTCAATTTGCATCCTCACTCATTTATTATACATTATTCCTGCGCTTGATCATAGTGTCACTGGGGTCCTCTGTAGCATACCGTATCAATATGGACTCTGCCTGCTTTCCAGAGTTGCTTAATGCCTGGCAGAGTCTTCTCAGATGCAATTCTTCCTTTTAAGTTGGGCCCCATGTGTGTAACATTAATTTCTCTGGCTGCATGTAATTCACTCAGGGGCTCACACCAGCTGAGAACCACATATGGGAGTCCAGATTTACAGAGCTTTTTATTTTGTGCCTTGCCAGCCAGAGGAAACAATTTTCTATTGAATTTTGAATGTTTGCCCTCGTCGTGTAGTCTACTGGAGATGGTTGATGAAGAAACCACATTCAGCCAGAGGTCCATCCGGCAGTGAGTTGAGCCAGTCGAGATCCTTCCTAGCTTCTGTCGTCCTTGCTTTAGTATCAGTTTCACGCCCTTGTCCACTTTCTTTCAGACTTCAGCCGTCATGTATGCGTCCTGCTGCCATGGGCCCAGTTTGTGGTCTGACTTTCCTATCCCTCAAAGTAGTTTTTCTTTCCCCTATTTTACACAACTTTTCCTTGTAACTGTGTGGTCTAGGCAAGTAATTTTCTCTCCCTGAGCTTCAGTTTTTTACTGTACAATGAAAAGGTTGGGTTAAATGGGACTCTTATATGTCTGAGCTTCTTTGATCTCAAATGGAATTCAAGACCACACTCCAATCTCATGGCACACACCCCTGC